GTTTGTTATTGTAATAAGAGGGGTGCATTTTTGTTAGGTAAGCCCATATCACTTTTTGAAAGTCCGTGTTAACTGTTTTTTAGTGTTTTTTGGAGAATTCTTAAAAGCTGGCTCATTTGTTTCTTTAGCCCATTAGATTTGTATGATTGTTTGACTAATTATTATTATTACATTAGTATTATTATTATTTCTATTATTATTTTTATTCATCTATTATTATTAAAAATAAATATTTTGTTGACTTTTGGGTCAAAATTAGAAGAGAAAACCCTAATTGCTCAGCTAGCGGCGCTGCTACTCTTCATCAAGATTACATGAGCCCAAAGCCCAAGAAACGTGCATTGTACAGATTCAACAAGAAAAAGTGCATTTGAAACTAAAACGAATCAAGATCTTCATAAATTAAATCTTGGAGTAAATAAAATCTGGAAATTAATATTTGTTTTTATTCACTGAAAATGAATCTACACAATAACAAGGTCCAAGTACAGATTACAAAATCCTAATTTCAAATAAAATATTTCTAAATCAATTTACAACAAATCGAATCCATAAACAAATCTTAATATTCCTAATTCCTAAAATCAATTACAAATTGTAACGACAATCATAAACAAAAACTTCTTAGTCTATCTCTAACCTAAGCTATAAAAACCTAAGATTCTATGAAAAGGGGGAAAAATTGAGATGAATAAGTTGACAGAGAAGCAGAAAGAAGAAGAAGAGAAGTTTAGGGCTTCAATATCTAAAACCCTAAAGTTCTTCATCGCTCCGCCGCTATGCTACCATCCACCATCATACCTTTCAAACAGAAAGAGGGGAGAAGGAGATTAGAAGGAGAAGCGGAAAATCAGAAAGGAAAACTATACGACCAGTTTCACTGCAGGAGAGGTAATCTAAAACAGTTAGCTTAGGGTTGTTAATTATTGTTGAACGCTTGCATGATTGATGTTTGATTGTTGTGGTTATGGAAAACTTGGGTTTCTAGGGTTAGGATTCTAACCTAGGGTTATGGTTCTTAGATCCTAGGGTTAGGGTTCATCCATATAGATCTAAGGTTCTTGGGGTTATTTGAAGATCGGGGTTAGGGTTCATCATTGTTATGTGTTCTGGATTTTGGTTGGTTAGTATTCATCATGAACCCTTGGGGTTCTTAGGGTTCATAGAACCCAAATGAAGAAGGCACGATGGTTGCGATGAATGTTTGAAGGCAAGCGGTGGCGCCCAGATGCAGTCGCCGGCGGAAGCAATTTCCGGCCAATAGCACTCTGGGTTGGGCGATTTCCGACGCGGCAAAATTCTAGAGGGAGGGCAGAGCCTCTCTCTAGAAATAAAAAAAGGGTTTGGTTGTGTCGTTGTAGAGAGAGGAAGGGAAAGGAATAAATGGGCTCTTAGCCCAATAATTTGTTTTTATAAACCCTCTCTAATTCTGTGTCTGCATCTCCAAGAATCTTACCGTGCACTTCCTATCACAGCCCTTGGATCAACATCAGACGATCCAAAAACGCGCGTCCATCATAATTCCATGGCCTCTCCCACACCTCGTCCATTGGATCAGGAAGCTGTTTTGGGCCTAGCCCATCTCTAATCACGCCCCCCCCCCCCCCCCTGCTTTTTTTGTTTTGCTATCAAGTTAAGAAATCACACCCCCTATTGCGTTATGGGCCCAATTCAATATCTGAACTTGGGGCCCCTTGCTAAACCAGACCCCCATATTTACTATCATGTACAATTATTCACCCCCTCTTGTGTTTGGGCCTGAATTCAATATCTGAATCCAGAGTCCTACTTTCCACACCCCCTGATTTACTTAGCCCAAACAAAATACACCCCCTGGGTTTTATTAATTATTTTATTTTATTTCTTTTAAATTTATTTATTTTTATATTATAATTAATATTTTATATTTAATATATTTATAAATTCTAAAATATTTACTATTATTATAAAAATCAAATATTTATTTTTCTAATCCATCTAAATATTTTTATTGCATTAAAATTATTTTTGTCATGCATTAAAAAGATTTTTATATATTAATACATTTAAAAAAATACCTAACCAACACCAAATCTTTTTTTAATAATTTATTTAAATCCAAGATAATTTTTAAAAAGGATTATGAAGATACTTTAAATCGAATGTGAACTTCGTCTAACAATTCCGCTATTCACACACCTAGGCTTGGTTCAATGGGAATTCCAAATAACTTCGTAATTCATAAAAAACACCAACCAACTACGAACTACGAATTGGGACTCTGATTCCTTCTAAGAGGATACGTAGGCATACCGACTAAAATCGTGACGAGTTCCCCTAATAAAAATTAAAACCTTATTTCCTAAGCCGTAATTCTAAATCCTAGTATCCTTGGGAACAAGGTAGATGAGGGGTGCCTAACACCTTCCCATCGTCTAAGAACGAGTCAAACAACTTAGAATCTCTGACCAAATTAGGGTTATCCGTTATATTCCCTTCCCTAGGATAAAAATTAATGGTGGCGACTGTCATTTCAAAACTGGTTACAACAGAAGGCCCTACATCCAGTGATTTCAGTAGCAAGCCTCAGTCTCACATCTGCTACAACTTCATTTAACTTCATATTAGTATTGTTCTTCAACTTGTCTACAATCATTCTAACAACCCATTCACCATTGGCATTCTTATTGAAGAACTTTCTTTCACATTTGTGTTTGTGAAACAAAGTTTTTATCTTAAATATTGTAGATCTCAAAACTCTACTACATAACACTATGTAGATACAATGATTTATGTCCTTACAAACAACACTACACCTATTACCATAATTTTTTGAAAATCTTACCTCCCTACCATTCAACACATTGTGTTATAGTATAGCCTTTTTAAATTGCTCCAAAGATGAAAATCTCATTCCCACCTTGAATGTGTAATCCTTTCTATATGTTTCCTCTTCATTAAACCTAATCAGTGCAAGCTTTTCATCATAATTATCTATTTTTCCCACTATCAAGCTCATCAATCATGTAATCATCTTCTATGATATGTTACATATCCATCTTTATTATGGTAAACAAATGGTTATGTAATTGACTTGTACCAGCACCATCAACATTCCCCCTGTAGGCTCACCTTTACCCACCTTAATACTTAATCTTTCATCAAGGTCTTCATCAAAATTATGCATTCTCTCTTCTTCATTATCTTTAAAGTGTATACCATCCATAGAGTCTTCACTTGACTCACTTTCCTCAACACTTTTATGTGCCTTTCGATTCTCTATTAACTTATTCATATAAGTCATCTCACTCATTGATAATTGAGGCTCTGTATAAATTTCAACATCACAATTATTCTTCTCAACGAACAAAGCTAACAATGATGCATCCTCATCATTTTTAAATGGTTTTAGATCCTTTTCAAGACAACCCTCTTCGTGTTTCCCCCATATTTTCACATCATCAAGATTCTCTTCGTGTTTCCCCCATATTTTCACATCATCAAGATTAAAGGTTGAGTCATCCCCTTAATTAGGTCACGGGCTTCAAAGAAGAACAAAAAATCATAGTCTTGCCCACTGAATGCATAAATTTCCGCACCCTTATACCTTAACTTTGCCTTTATAAATGAATCCTTGGTGTAAAATATCATCTTAAATAACTCCAAATCATATAACATTACAAATATGAAAGAGGATAAATTAGACATTACATTCACATTCAACACGGGAAAAAAAAACCATAGAGTTTACAGTCAACACAAGAAAATAAACTGCATAATCCTAGAACTAAGTGTGGCATAGCAAAGGCATATGATATTGAAGAACATAAACAATTCCTAATACAGCAAATACAACAAACAAAAGTACGTGTGAGACTAACCTTAATGTTGGGACCATAACAAACACAAATTTAAATCAATGAAATCTTCGTACATTGTATGTGAAATCGACAATATTGGGACCATAACTATGAAAATGTGAAATCGTCAATATTGTTGGGACCACATGTTTCAATGGAGCATGTATGCATCTTCAATGGATAAGAAGGTATGACGATTTGGGACCACAGCTGAGCGAAGAAAGCACGATTTAGGATTTGGTTTGAGTTTTAGGATTTTTGGTCAAAGGGTTAATATTTAACTCTTAAAACAATTAAAAGTAAACATTATAACATGTGTAACACCATTAAAAAAGAAAAATAAATCAATTAAAAAATAATATTTTTAGTTCACCTGTATTGTCATGTTAGGATCCGTTAACGATATTTAACATCAAAAATCAATTGTATTGTATGGATGAAAAATTTTAGAGGTCATTCTTTGAAGAAAATTTTTAAAGGAAATAAAAATGAAAATGGCAATATTTATCAAGACCAAAAATATATTTAACCAAATTTTCATTTACTTGGTACAATTTTAAGTATGTAGTGGTGCTAGATTGTGAGACCACTTCAAGAGTAGAAAGCGGTGCAAAATGTTGAGTGCATACATGCAAGCGTATATAAAATCTACTGCAAATTAAATTTTGATTTCTTAATCAATCCCGATTGAGAAGAACATTATATAAAAGTATCCATGGTACAAAATACATAAACTTACATACTTCATACTATATAGTAACAAATTTTAGCCTGATTTTGGTTATTTTTAATTTTTGAAAAAAATATCATATTATTGGTATACCTTTAATTGTTCTAATATTACAGTAAGAAATTAGATTTTAAAAAGTTGAAAGTGATGAACAATATAATGAGTAAAAGAGAAGGAAAAGGTGTAAAATTGGTGTGTAAGAATCTCTTGACAGAATTACATAAGATATGTTCTCTATGTAAAAATAAAATAAAATAAACTATATACTCTATCTGTTAAGGGGCAAAATTTCTTCCAACATACGCAAAAACAAGCATATAAACTACACGAGACCCTGTCATAATCCAAAATTGTTGGCTGAAGCAAATGCAGAAAATCATATCTGATATTTTTCCTACCCAGGCTGGAAAAAACATCTTCACTCAAATTTTTCAATGGGCAGCAGCAGAAGGTGAATAAAGTTGAACCCAAGGAAATTCATTCTTGTAAGGCAAACTTGCTTCACAAGAGGCTTCACATGCATACACAACAATCGAAGCCCAATCCAAAGAGTTTGTTTCATTCTCCACCCCGAAATAATACAACAGCTGTGGCAAAATCTGGAAAAACCAACATTAACAATTCGGTATTACCAGAAAGAAGCTAAAAATATTTGGTTGACCAAACAAGAGAAACGGGAGTACATGCAGAAGGACAACAATAACTACCTGAAATTCACAACACATGGATCCACCGCAATAGCTGCATTTAGGGATATCATCTTTCGATGGCCGGCCACTTAAAATGGGCCAAATTGGCTTAGCATTAGAATTCCTATAATACCTGTTATTTACCACAAATATCATATTGTAATTACACATAAATATATATTGACAACAACCAGGTTATAACACTGATTAACTTTGTATTACATATCTTAAATACGTGGTTATCAAAACAATGCACGTTCTATAATCTATTTTCTAAATGTTGGTTCCCTACTTCAAGTATCAGATTATGCAAATATAGAATGATGAAAAAAGTCGATGTGCCTCAAATGATAGGTCAGACAGAGGCAAATAAATGTTTTCCCGGTTTTCTATTTATTTATTTCTTCATCTTGTAAGACAAGAAAAATCTTTTTGACTACATTTTGTCCCAACCAGGGGAGAAAATAATGTCACATAAGACCGATCTTAAATCGATTAATCTCTCTGAATATACTAAACATTGGTTACCTCAACACTTGTTCAGGGGCATTGGCAATGCGTTCCTGGAAGTGGGCCCAACTCTTTTTGTCATCATCGCCCTATTCACAAAATATAATTAGCAAATAATATACTTAAAAAAAAGTAATATAATCTTAGTGAAAACAAGTTAATACCTGAAAACTATCCATGAGTGAATTCATAGTGTCATCACTCCTATTTCTTGAGATCAAGGAATTAGATAAAGTATTATCCTCAGTTGTATCTACATTACATTCACTTTGATCTTCGATGATCTCAAATTCAGGCCATATGTTTTTGTTTCCAACTGTTGTAGAGTAAATGATCCATAAGATTTGAATTAGCACGAAGCTAAATAGTAGGTATTATCATAAAAGTTTAAATAGTAATCTCTAATATAAATTTATAGTCATGTATTTTATTATTTTGAAATGGGATCATTGCACTTTTAACTTTCTTTTCGGATTAGATTATTATTATTGAATTAGAAGAGACTAAAAGACATTTAGGTTAAACTGTATGTTTTGAAAGCACTACGGAGACTTTATTATATATAGAGAGATTACAACTAATTACACAATATAATCGATGTGAGACTATTCTACATGCAAATATTTACAAATATCAACACTCCCCCTCAGGCTGGAGCATATAAGTCAAATGTACCAAGCTTGCCACATATATAATTAGTTTTGGGACTTCGCAGAGATTTTGTAAACACATCTGCCAATTGATCATTAGAGTTGACAAAGCTTGTGACGATATCGCCAGATTCAATCTTCTCTCTGACAAAGTGACAGTCTATCTCAATATGTTTGGTCCTCTCATGGAAGACTGGATTTGAAGCAATGTGCAATACAGCTTGATTATCACATACAAGTGTCATTGGTCTTGCTTCTTTAATTTTAAGTTCTTTGAGCAACTGCTTTAACCAAATGAGTTCACATGTTGCCATTGCCATGGCCCTATACTCTGCTTCGGCGCTTGATCTTGCAATTACATTTTGTTTCTTACTTTTCCAGGATATAAGATTTCCTCCAACAAGTACACAATATTGGTGACCCTGCCCAATCAGCATCAGAGTATCCAACTATCGGAGTATGTCATTTATCTTCATACACTAAACCTTTTCCTGGAGCACATTTGATGTATCTCAGAATCAGGATAACAGCATCCATGTGTTCCTGACAAGGGGAATTTAAGAATTGGCTTACTACACTGACTGCAAAAGAAATGTCTGGACGAGTGACTGTGATATAATTTAACTTTCCAACCAATCTCCTATACCTTCCCAAGTCTAATAGAGACTCCCCTGATTGGATAGTAGTTTGACACTTGAATCCGTAAGAGTATCAACTGGTTTAGCGCTCAACAAACTTGTTTCTTCCAAAATATCCATAGCATATTTCCGCTGAGAAATCACCAAACCATTTTTAGATTGGGCTACCTCAATACCCAAGAAATACCGGAGTTTACCAAGATCCTTTGTCTGAAATTGATTCGAAAGATGTTGTTTCAACTGGAGTATTCCCGACTCATCACTACCAGTTATGACAATATCATCTATATACACAATAAGATAAATACACCCTTGGACTGAGTGACGATAAAAGAAAGAATGGTCAGCTTCACTACAGACCATACCAAATTGTTGTACTACAGTGCTGAATCTGCCAAACCAAGTTCTCGGAGATTGCTTAAGACCATAAAGAGACATGTGTAGCCTACAAACCATATTCGATGACTCCCCCTGAGCAACAAACCCAGGTGGTTGCTTCATATATACTTCCTCTTCAAGATCACCATGTAAAAATGCATTTTTGATGTCAAGTTGATGAAGAGGCCAATGTTGAATGGCTGCAATGGCTAGAAGAAGTCTAACAGATGCCATCTTGGCTACAGGCGAGAAGGTATCACTATAATCCAATCCAAAAATTTGAGTGTATCTCTTGGCTACCAAGCGAGCTTTAAAACGATCAATCTTACCATCTGGATCAACCTTCACTGTATAAAGCCAACGACAACCTACTAAAGATTTTCCAGTGGGTAGAGGAACCAGTTTCCAGGTACCACTGCTTTGAAGAGCACACATTTCATCAATCATTGCTTGCCTCCACTCAGAGTAGATAATGCTTCACCTGGAGATTTAGGAATAGAAACAGAAGACAAAGAGGACAAACAAGTATACTGCAAAGGGGAAAGACGGTGATAACATAAATCAATATAATGTGGAGAAGAATTTCGTGTTTGACATTTGCGGAGGACAATCGGAAGATCAGACTCAGGTTGCAGGATCGAATCCGGTGATGGCGATAGCGTCGGAGGAGAGTTTACAGTGACCTCATGGACAGATACGACCTCAAGGACATGTACAACCTCAAGGACAGGTATGATAGACGTTGGTTTAGACGTTGATATGTTTGAAGTGGGCGAGAAGTGGGGGGATCAACCGTAGGGGTTTCTCGTGGGATAGGTCCCCTAGAATGATGGGGGATGATCGGAAATGGAAAATGGGACTTCCAAAAGAGGTGTGGGAGTACTTTTCTGAAGGGGTTTCAGAGTGACTTGGGTGGACGGATAATATGGCACAGACTCAAAGGTAATATCGGCCAATATCAGGTATCGTTGCAGAGTGTGTGAGTAGCAACGATAACCAAGAAAGACACTTTAGTGATCGAACTGATAGTTTATCAAGACCAGGGGAGAGATTATGCACAAAACATGTAGACCCGAAGACTCGAGGAGGAATGGGGTGAAGAGGAGAATTTGGAAACAGGATTGAATGAGGGATTTTATTATTAAGGACAAATGAGGGCATGCAATTTACGAGATAACACGCCGTGAGCACAGCATCCCCCCAAATTCTGAGAGGGACATTACCATGGAGAAGTAGAGTCCAAGTGGTTTCTACGAGATGCCGGTTTTTGCGTTCGGCTACCAAGTTTTGTTGAGGTGTATGAGGGCAAGATGTTTGGTGCAGAATACCATTGGATGACATAAAAGTTTGAAATTGTTAGGATAAATATTCACGTGCATTGTCACTTCTTAAGGTATGAATGGACAAACCAAATTGGGTTCTTATTTCTCGATAAAATTGTTCAAAAATAGAAAACAATTCATATATGTTTTTCATTAGAAATAGTCACGCGCAACGTGAAAAATCATCAATAAATGTTACAAAATACCTAGACTCAAAAGTAGACTCGGTACGCGATGGACCCCAAACATTGGAGTGAACTAAAGTAAAAGGGGACGCAGCCCGTTTATTGACTCGATCGAGAAGGTGACTACGAGTATGTTTCCCTAATTGACAAGACTCACACTGTAAAGTGGATAATTTAGATAAACTAGGCACCAACTTTTGTAGCTTGGGAAGAGTTGATGACCTAACTGCGCATGTATAATGAGTGGAGAATCTGTGGTGGAGCGTGTGGTAGATGACGTAGAGAAGTATTAGAGGCCTTGAGACTCACATCCGACGCCAATCATCTGTCCCGAACTTTGATCCTGCAGAATAACACCACTGTTAGTAAAAGTGATAGAACAATTAAGAGAACGAGTTAAACGACTGACTGAACAGTAGATAAAATGGGCAATTAGGTACATATAAGACAAAAGTAACAAAGAGAGATGGTAGAATTTGAACAGTACCAATCCCTTGGGATCGGGGTTGAGAACCATTTGCGGCAGTTATACTCGGTAAGAAACCAGAGGAAGAAAGGGATGAGAAAAGATTTTTATTACCGGTAACATGATCAGACGCACCAGAGTCGAGGACCCAAGGACCAAGAGGAGATGATTGAGAGACGCAAACAGATGAATTACCAGTGTGTGCAATCGAAGTCGTGGAACCAGAGGTCTGGTTAGTCTGACACCACCTGAGAAAATCCTCGTAGTTTGGCGTAGGGTTCTAAAGAGAAGGTGAAGTATGCATAGTGTCTGAGTTATCAATTTGAGTTGCATTTACCTGCCGTGGAGGTTTGTCATGCAACTTCCAGCAACGATCGATAGTATGTCCAAGCCGGTTACAATGGTCACACTTAGGACGAGGTTTGGAGTTGGATGACCCTCCTCGAAGACGATTCTGATTGTTGCCAAGAGATGCAAGAGCAGCAGTGTCACCTGGTGTTGGAATAGCAATAGACAGAGGAGAAACTGGGCCAAACACAACAATTGTTCACTAACTGTATCATAGTTAGGAACAGTAGTACCTGATAAAATCTGGTTACGAACATATTCGAGTTTTGATGGTAGTCCTTTAAGTGTCATGACCATGAAATATTTACTCTGTTGTTCGGCATGAGCTATTGCATCTTTTGTGTAAGGCATGGGGGTTGTGTAACTTGCTTTCAAGGTTGCATCAAGCTTACTCAAATAAGCTTGCACATCCATATTTTTCAACTTCAGTGTGTTTAATTTGTGAATGACACTGTATAGAGAATGAACGTCGTTGGAAAAGACTTTCTTGGTCTTTTGCCACACCTCATAACAAGTGGAGAATGCTTGGTAATGCGCTTGGAGGTTAGGTGCTATGGAAAACCACAACCCAGTACACAAAGAGGCATCAGTTTTCTTCCATTTAGCGAGTTTGACGGCTGCAACGTCACTCAATTGGGTGGTTAGATGTTCTTCATATCATTGACCGTGAAACCACATCTCGACAGCACAAGCCCATATGTTATAGTTGACTGATCCGGTTAGTTTTTCACGTGGAATAAGCGAAACTTAAGTAAACGAGACAAAATCAGCATCTCTCATGGCTTAAAACACAACAATGAGGGTTGTTTGAACAAGAGTACGACTTTCTGTGAGTCGAAAACAGAAACCAAGGGCGGATCTAGAACCGGAGGAGGAAGGCGATTTTCCGGTAAAAAAAATTCGAGAACATTTCTCACCGGAAGACAGTGGGTCAACCGGGTTAAGCACTGCAAAGAATTGCCTCTTAGAAGGCTCTAGATACCATATTGAATTAGGAGAGACTAAGAGACATTTAGGTTAGACCGTGTGTTTTGAAAGCACTACGGAGACTTTATTATATATAGAGAGATTACAATTAATTTACACGATATAATCGATGTGGGACTATTCTACATACAAATATTCTTAACATTATATATTTGTAAACATCAACAATTATGTTCAAAGCACTATTAAAAATTTAAAAGTTTAATATAGTTTATTGAGTTTCTCTAAGAAATTGAGAACGTTTTTGTTATCAACAGGAAGCAAACAATCTCTGCAAAAACATTTAAATTTTAAACCATTGTGACCTTTACCCGACTCCAACGAGGTGGTTCCATTTTTGTTGGGTCCAAGAGCAGGTGAAGAAATTTTTATTTGCTGGCAAGCAATTTTATGCTCTGCACGCCAACTCATGGACTGTATAATAAAAGAGGAAGAATATAATAGGAATCAAATTAAGGTGCGAAAACTATTACACATATAAGTAATTTGGTTACCTGGTGTTTCTCGGAGCAATACCGCACTTGTTTGCAACTGCTGCAGAGCTTGTCTCCTTTCCAAGTACCACACCAATCACATAGAGCAGCTGAAAGAAAGAAAAGCTTCCATCAGATTAGAATAGAGGCAGACTTGAAACAAATCAGTGTTAAACCACAGATCACGGAATATAACCGTCTGTTCAATTTTCAACACACATTGCTTCCATTTGACAACATTTGGTATTAAGGGTCTGTTTGGATGAGCTTATTTGAGCTTATCTACTGCCATAGTTGTGTGTCACTGTTTGGGAAACTTAATCAAAACAACTTATGACAGTTTTTATTAATTTTTTTGAATTTATTTTTATAAATTTTTTTAGTTAATGAAAACAACTAACAATATACTCCCTATGTCTCAAAATAAATGTCTTTTTAATAAATAAAAATTGTCTCAAAATAAGAGTCTTTTTACATTTCTAATGCAACTTTAATTAATTTTTACCAACTTTACCCCTTAATAATTATTGTCTGCACTACTTTCAAGTTATTAAAGCATACTACATTTATGACGACCAATAATAATTAAGGGCTATTTTATAAAATTGTTACATTCAATTATTCAATCATTATTTTTCTTAATCTATGTTTAACAACCTTAAAAGACTTTTATTTTGAGACGGATGGAGTATATCAAAACAATTTTAATTTATTTTATCTTTTGTTATAAAAATAGCTTATACAAGCTTATTCATAAGCGCTTATTTTGATAAGCACTTGGACCATCAGCTGCAGATAAGCTGTTTATCCATACAGACCCTAAATTGCGTATCACAAAATAAGAAAGATTTGTTCAAATTTTACTACGCAGCGCTTTAGCCGTTAATTGACAATACTGGAATAAATCCATTTATCAGATGAGCATACAAGTTCTCCAACACCTAAGTCAACAAAAGTGCTAATCAACTTGTCTTGATGGCAAGCCGTCCATATATTAGTTACACATTAGGCAGAAATAGATGGTGATATAATGTTAACAATAGTAAACAACATGGGCAGCTTGTTTAGGGAAATCAAATTAAGTTTTTACGCTAAAGATTGAAAAACAACATCATGTTAATTTTTTCCTAATAAAAGCATGGTGCTATTGTGTAGCTTGGCAGTAGTATTGAGAGTTTTCTTTTGACTCAAAGCAGTAGCATAAAGATAGATAACAACTTAACAAGTAATCCTCATTCCTAAACTCTTTCTAGTGCTCACATACTAGTGCTCACAATAAGACAATTACAATTACATACAAAACTAAGAAGGCTAGACAATAAAGACCTGAACCAAAACAACAATCTATCATAATCAAATCAAAGTAAAGGACCCCTGGCCAATTATGAACAGCTATTTTCCTCAAGTTATAAACTACTATCAGTTAAGCATTCATCAAAGTGGGACACGGGGAAATTATATAAATTATCCTAACAAATAACATAAAATGGGATTATTTTCAGCAAAATGAAACAAGTACGTTATGATGATGACGAGTAAACTAACCTCCACTGCCAGTAGGTATGTCATTTCCATCATATTTGGGACATTCACTCAAGTAAAAAGGATTAATGCGAGGTAACTGGCAACGGAAAACCTTCACACTTCACCACAAAACACTACTTTATCAGAGATCAACAGTCAAAGGAACTAAAAAGAATGGAAAACTTGGTTTACAGAGCATTATGAGATACCTTCTGGATGGTTTCTCTGGATTGCGTTTCCATTGTTCATGCTGATCTCTGAGAAGACATGTCATGGAAGGACACATGAAAACAAATAGCATCCGGTGAAATGTACTATCCTTCTCAACAACTGGTGCATAAACCTAGCAGTTCAAGGGTATCCAGGGTAGGAGACAAACAATAAACACAGAAAAAAACAGTTTCAGGTGTTAGCTTCATACCTGAAGCACAAAATGTAAAGGGTCTCCACAAAAGTCACACACAGAAGACTTCCCAGATGGAATATTCAGAGGGTCGAGCCAAGCCTATTTTTCATACAACAGATCATATAACCATTAGACATAGAAACTCACTTTTATTCAATAATTAAATTCATCTATGTATTTATCTATTTATCCATGGAAAAGTTTTCTCAATATAACACAAGCTAGAATTTCCCATCCTACTCTAAAAAAACTATTGATATGTGGCAGGGGTCTTTACTAGTTAAGGCTTGTTTAAATTGGCTTATTTGAGCTAATATAAGCTTATCAAAACAGCTTATAACATGTACATAAGCTCCTTTTAGATTATATATTATAAGTTCTTTGGGATGAATTATGCTACCAACACATTATCTTCAACACGGACTCTCTTATTAGTTGAAATGCAAATAAGTCACATTAAAGTATATCCATATGTTTGGATTGAAAGGATGTGATGGAATGGTATATAATCAAATTCTATTGTTTGGATTTGCAAATAATGGATGGAACAGAATGGAACATAATTGAATTTTCATTCCCCCAATTTGGATGGTGTATGTGATGGAATGAACTAATTAGTTCGGCTCGTTCGGTCAAATTATAAAAATACACCATTCTGCTCCACTCCACTTCATTCCATTCCGCTTCGTTCTGGTTCATCAATCCATTCATAGCATCCAATCATAGCAGTGGTCCATGTGAATTAGAATCAGACCAATAAAAGAATTTGCTTACACCTTAAACAAAAACAGTTTTCACTTTATTTTTTTATTATAAAAATGGTTTAAAATATAAGCGATTATATAATAAGCACTTCCACTATTGAATAAAACAATACAGAAGCAGAGTGCAAAAGATTAATCGAGAAGGTAAACTACCGGGAGTCCTCCAGCTTTGCTTGGGAAAAACTGACGAGAAAGAGTCCAACGATTTTTCGGCTTTTCAAGAAAACCAAGAGTGATAGGTTCAAGTTCTTCATCATCAGAATCATCAACAAAAACATCATCTTCATCTGCATATTCATCATTTTCATTTCTAACAGAATTTCCAATTGCGGAAGTGTCCATGTGTAGAGAGTGAAAGGTTGTGCAGTAGCACGGAGAGTGTGTATGTGTTGATTGTTCGAAAGTTCTGTTGGGTCGCCGGAGTTGGCGGTGGCTGGCTATCCAAACGGCGGTTGGAAGAGAGAGAGTTGCAGTGAGAGAATGAGAAAAAGGCGGAGGGTACTAAAGGGGTTAGGGTTTTGTGAGGGGAAGATTTAATCAAGGGTTGAGATTAGATGTTGCGGTAAAGAGGGATATTAACCATTGATTAAAAACATTTCATAAAACAAAACAAAAAAACGTTGTTTTAGAAAATTCCATCTATAAACTATTTTTAAAACACAAATACTGCAAAACAAACTTATTTTGCACCATAGAACATTAATTGAATCTTTAACTAAATCTTCATTACACATAGATGAAATGGTAATAGTCTCTCCCAAATTAATTAGAAATTTGGGATTCAAATTCATTCATAAGCACACTTTAATGTTAAAATCTTGAGTGAGAGTATTGCCTCCTACTGTGAACTTCCACTTAGCTCGAGCCAAAAAATAAATTTTTGATTCATTGAAAATCACATTACATTTAAATCTTCTCATATAAAGTGTTTTGGATTTCGTCTATTTTTTTTTTTTGGATATCTAAAAATAAATAAAAAACATAAATAAAATATATATGTTTCAGGTTACTCAATGGTTCAGTAAGACTAGTCCAATCCAAAAGTTCAATCTCAATAATAAATTTTCACTAAGTTAGTGAATAGGTGGACGCTCATACAGAAGCATCGCAATGAGGCAAGACATCGTCTTTATCTCAATTGTTGATGTTCATCCCACGGTTTTTCGCATTTTGCATAGGATTAATCATTGATGATTTCAACGATCACCCTTTTATAGATGTGGCTTTGAGTTATGTCGAGGTATTGACTTGAGTACTGGAGTGTTAACCTTGCAAGTATCCACATCTTTGATCATCAGAAACACCAACCATCACGCTGGAAGCCTTTCCACGGTGTTCGTCAACAACCTACTACTCATTTTTTTGCTCACACTTAAAGCGAACAATTCCTCATAGACGCACTGACAAGAATTTAAGGTCGATCGGGTCATTGGCGCTAGAAGATACGGGGACCCACATGCTAATGGTTTATAACCTTTTAACCCCTTACGATCGCCTGCAAGAAAATGTTTACTTGAGAATTGAAATTGAGATAGTTTATATACAACAAACGTACTCCTAAACCAAACAAGGTGTCTTTTCCAAAGGACAAAGTCCTTACGGGTTCACACACTCAAAGCGGACAATATCTCATACTCACAATGGTCAATAAACTTGAGATCAACCAGAACAATGACACTAGAAGGAGAGGCAAACCCCACATGCTCACGATTTAGACCATTTAGTTCTTTAGCCTCGATTGGGGGGGGGGGAGGGGGGGTTGTTTTCACCGAATAGTCTCATATTGCACTGGAGTCAAGTCTAAGGACAATTTATGTTAAACATTCAAACTCATCAATCCAACAAGGCATTTTTTCCAAAGAACAAAATTATGACGAAATCTCAAACTCAAAATAGACAATACCTCGTAACCATAATGATCAACAAACTTGAGGTCGATCAGAACAATAAAAATTCATAAAATATTCCAAAATATACTTTTAATGAGCAAAGTTAACAACAATAACAACAAAAGACTTTCATGTTTCTCTCAAATCTACTTCTCGCTTTCTCAAGTTAGAAGAGAGATGGTAAAAGAATAATTAATTTTAAAGCCTAGAATATTTTGAAGTTTAAATGATGTTTTGAGTGAGATAGAAGAGCGGAGAAAAAAATTAAAGAGACTAATTCATTCTTAAGTTTGGTTTTTTTTCTATTTCTAGATCCTAAAACTTTTTGGTAGGTAATTTTCTACTATTGTGTTTAAATTTATGATTTTGAATTTGAAGTTGCTTGAGTTTGATTTTGGGTGGGGTGAAGTCTATTGAAGGCTTATGGGTTTTACTTTTTTTAATTTGATTGAATTGTTTTAAATGAGTTATTGGAGATTTGAAGATGGGTCTTCGAAACATATGATTTTCTCAGAAGTAGAAGTAAGACTGGGTATATGAAATGTAAGTTTAGCAAAATGAAAGGCATTTTTAAGCTAGAGGTAAAAGTTGAAGATCATATCATACCATAAATCACATGGTTTAAATATCTTGAGCCATAGTAAAAACTGATGGAGAAATATAAGAAGGTGTAAACTAGTGAATTCAAGTTGGGTGGTTGAAATGGAGGAAGACCTCATGAGTTTTGTGTGACACAAAAGTATCGTTCAAGTTGGAGGGAAACTTTTTTATTGGACAACGGTAAGAAAAGTATACCATATCAAATGAAGTAAACAACTACAGGTAAACCTAAAAAAACTATAAGAAAAAACTATTCAGAAGGATCTCAAGATTAATGAATTGGATAAAAATAAGGTTTTTGATAGAACGTTATAATCTAATTTGATCCATGTAGTTAATCCTACTTAGTGGATAAGTTTTGGTTATTATTGTTAGTTTGATTTGAATTTATAAATTTAATTTAATTTATGTATTTAATATTAGAGAATGAGAAAGAGAGCATAGTTGATAGAAATAGATGAATATGTTATATTTAATGAACAAAATAAATGAAGTTGGTTACATTGGTTGTTATTTATAGAGAATCTAAATTGGGGATAGCTCAACAATAATCTAACAAACCAAACTCTAACTAACTCTTTAAGACTGGCATTCTACTACATCCTAATACACTTTAATGTCTTCCCTTCAAAGGGGGGAGTCTTCTTATTGGAAGTTTTCCCTTAGTGTAGAGTAGTTTTATCTACTACTCAAAGTTGATCCCTGAGAGTTTGAAACTTTAGTGAAGACAAAGGATTAGTCAGGACATCAATATTTTGCATATTAGTTGAAATGTGATTAAAACAAAATTTCTTGTTGATGACCTTCTCCATGAGAAAAAAATATATCTAGCTCCATGTACTTAGTCTTGGCATGGAGGACATGATTGTGAGAAGGAGCTACAGTGCATAAGTTTTTACAATAGAGAATACGTGTGGTAGTTTCTACTTGAATCTCTGTAAGAAAAGGTTGTACACAAGTATAAAAATGGTAAAAGTGGGTTTGTTGAGTATAAGAATGTGGCTTTGAGAGTTCCTTGTGACAATGATGTCATCAACATTCACAAGCATAAAAATGGTAAAAGTGGGTTTGTTGGGTGTAAATAGTTATGGATCACATTTACTTGTGTTAAACCCAAAGTTTTGGAGTGTAGTAGCGAGCCTTTCAAAACAGGCCTTAGTTATCTGCTTCAGACTATAAATGACCTTATTGAGCTTGCAAACCAAATGTGTCATAGTTAAGAAAGTCAGGTGGTTGTTGCATATATACTTATTTTGTTAATAAGCTATTTAAGAAAGCATTATCACATCTAGTTAAGTGATATGCCATTTTCTATAGATAGCTAGTGCCAAAATGATCACGACAGTTACATGTTTTACAAAAGGAGAGAATGTTTCTTGAAAATCAAAGCCTTGCTCTTGATGAAACCTTTTAGCCACAAGTTTGGACTTATATTTCAAGATGGATCCATCGGGATTCTGCTCAATCCCAAAAAGTCACTTGCACAAAATAGCTCTTTTGTTAGGAATAAGAGATCTTAGTGTCTAAGTGTTATTGTTGAGTAAGTTTTTATGCTCAGCTTTCATGGCCTCAAACCACTTAGGATTCTTATGAGCAATTTTGTATGAGGTAGGCTAGAGTTCTATTGGAAGAAGTGTAGGATGAAGTCTAAGTTGTACTATCCCATCCTTAGTTATAATGGTATGGGAGTGAGTATCTTGAGGATGGGTTCTAAGTAAATGAGTTTGAGATTTATTTAAGAAAACAAAATAAGGTGTTTGAGAGGAGGAATGACTGGTGGAATGCTCAAATGCTTGAAATAATGGATGAGTAAGAATGGGAGATTGGCTAGGGCTAGATGTAGGTATGAGATCAGTCATGTCAAGTACTGAAATAGGACTAAGTAATGAGGTTGGAGAAGGAGTTTGAACTTGGGAAGACCCTGAGTTAATATGAGATGAAGTGTTGTCATCTTAAATGATGCTAGTGTTGTAAGATGAAGTGATGGGAGAGGGATGGAAGGAAGAGAAGGATAAAGGAATAGGAATGCACCCATTATTTATGGGTGTGGAAGTCATTGAAATTGAAGGAAACATATATGTGTAAGGAAATCAAATTTCATTGAAGATTACATCTTTAGAGATGTAGATCTTCCCATAAGTGGCTAAGCACTTGTATCATTTTTTATGAGATGAGTATCCCAAGAACAAACACTCTTTTGAGTGATAAGCAAATATATGAGGATTATAAGGTCTAATATGTGGATAATAAGAACAATCAAACACTTTTAGAAATTTTTAATATAGTTAAGTGTGATAGAGGTTCAGATAAGGAAGGCTCATACCTAAAACAGTTATTGACATTCTATTAATGAGATAAGTTGCATCCCGAAAAGCATGATCCCAAAATTTTAAAGGGAGAAAAGTTTAAGCTAAAAGAATGAGACCAGTCTCTACCACATGTCTATGATTCCTCTCTACAAAACTATTTTAGTGATAAGTGTATGGGCAAGTAAACCTATGAATAACTCTTTGCTTGATGAGAAAAGAGGAGTGAGGTTTAAATTTACAACTTCCATTAGTCTAATTGTTTTAATTTTGCAATTAAATTGAGTATTGACATAGGCAGTGAAGTTGGTGAAAATTGAAAAACACTTTGGACTTTAGCTTAAGTAGAAAAATACAATTGTATTTTGTAAATGTATTAACACTGGTTAGCAAATATTTAAAGCCAAATGATGAAACCATCAGGACCCCATATATCAACAAACACTAAATCAAATTGAGCATGATAAAGTGTAGTAGAATGAAAAGATGGTAATTTATGAACCTTGCCAATACAATAAGCAGCGCAAAAATCAAACTTGGATTGATT